ACCCAGAAAAAAAAAAAAAAAAAAAAAAAAAAACACGCTTATTGTGAACGCATTGTTTCTATGTTGACTTGATAATGAATTTATATTTTCGCCTCTCTCTTCAGTAAATTCACCTATAATTTATTATCATTATTAGTTTTATTATTATTATTATCATTATTATTATTATTATTTCCTCCTCAAGAAGTACACTGTATTTTATTGATAATTTATATTACAGTTAATTTAATTACTGTTAAAATGATAGCTTCTTAATTTAATAATAAAATATAACTTGTATCGTAATTAAATTAATTAATGTTAAAAAAATTATATCGAAACCGAATGAATTTCAATTAAAAATATATAATTTTTTTTTATTGAAACTGATTAAATTATGTTGTGTCACATATACAAATGTTAAACCACTCTTTATGTTTGTATCAGCAACAACAGAAGTATGTTTCATTATCATGGAATTTTAAGGGAAGAGGGGGGAGATAATTAGGTAACTTGACGTGTTTTTATTTTTATTGAAAAATAAGGAGTGAAATTAGCAAAAGGTGGGAATACCGAGTCCTTTTGCACTTTATTCTTTCCGTCTCCCTTTTCACACTTAACTATATTTTTATATTTTTTTTCTATATTATTGTTATTGTATAAAAAATATAATTAAAAATTAAAATAATCTAAGTTATTTTCAAAATTTTAATATATTAAAAATCGTTAATTGATACAAAAAAAAAAAATATATATATATATATATATATACACGTAATATTGTGCTATAATCTAGTGTTATATGTTTGGTGAGTTTAAGAAAGTTTGTGGAATAAAATTTAGTTGACCTTGAGAAGATAAAAGTATATAAAAAAAATTCTTAGGACTTAGCCTCATAAACTCATATTCTTTAAAACTTTAGAGAGAAATCCAAAGAAACGAGTTGTGGTTTTGAGTTTTTCCTTATTCCTAAACCTTTTGTTGATTAGTGAATCATTTTCCTGAGATTTCTTATCTCTTCTTGTGAGTCTTTATTTAGGTTCAAAAGCTTGAATCTACCCTGATATCGTGTTGAGTTCTTTGGAAAGCTCAATTCCCTTCTTATTTTCCTTCTTATTCTTCGACTTCAATTGCTCAGAGTAAAAGGTAACGGAACTTATAGGAATAATTGTGAATGAGATGGTTGAATTGTTTACTGTTGATTTTGATAATGCACAAGGGTTTAGGGTATGGTTGAGATTTTTGAAATTTCATGATGGAGGGGAGGGTTATAGTTGTTCTTGTGGCAGCTGGGATAATGTATGATGATGATTTAATTGTTGATGAGTACATGATGTACAGTAAACATGAATATAATACTTAAGCTTATTGCATTTTGTGTAATGTAGGATGATGACCATAAGTATTGGTATGCTATATATGTGTAGTTTAATGATGATAAACATTGGTATATTATGTATGATTGATACATTATATTTGGATAAATTTGTAAGCATTGGTATATTGTTCTTGGATAAGATTTTAAGTATTGGTATGTTATATATGATTGATGTGATTTGAATTCTATATCCATTAACCTAAGGTAATATATATAGAAAATGTATGTAAAGGTATTGATGTTAAGAATGTTACAAATATTAAAACATGTTGATTGACTTGAGACCATAGGAGAGAATATTGTTTAAAAAGTTGAAGATCTCACATAGAAAATATTATTTTGGCACTCTGGGAGACCAATCATTGAAACCCTCATTAAGTGGGTATGAAACACTCTGAGTAGATTTTGTTGAGTACCATTTAAGCCCTTAGTCAATATGGAATAAAATATGAAATTAAGGGCTATAATCCTTAACTGAGTACTGGAGTTGGGATGAAGCAATGTTGTTGGTGATGTAGTCGACGACTACTTTTGTTAGTTTGTATAGACGTTACTTGATCAACAACTTGTAATTTTATATTATATATTTACTGGATTATTGTACATATACTTGTATAATCTTTTTAGTTATATCTACAAATATAAATACTATGATGTACAAATACTAATATTGTAAATATATGATCATAAGTACTAGTTGTAATTCCACTACAAGAATTTCTTACCACTTGAGAAACCTACTCAAGACTTTTAATGCAATATACAAAAAGATTAAAGGAACGAATTCACCTGGAAGCTGAACAAATCAAACTGTGAATTCTTGACCAATCTTAATTCCTCTTTTCCAAGAATGTAGTGATGATGATAATTCTTCTCAAAGCATTTCACAAAATGTTTTTACTTCTTGGTTTCACAAAGAAAACTCTCCAAGAAGATCACAAAGATCAAAAGTTTATCACAAAATTCTCACATATCACTTGGCTAAGTTACTGAATGATAGAACCACTTTTATAAGGTTTTCACACCTAGATAATCGATTGTTTTTAAGGATAATCGATTATTTTGTTCTTCATGAGTTTTGAAAATCACTCAAGAACAAAATAATCGATTATTTTTCAGGATAATCGATTATTCTAGAGAGCACTTTCTAGAATAATCGATAATTTCATAGGTAATCGATTATTACAGCAAGGTTTCTCAACCTCTTGAAAAAAAAAGCTGAGATAATCGATTATAGTTAGTAATAATTGACTATTTTGAGTTAGTTTTTCAAAATTCGATTTCACACATTCAAAACCTTTCCAAGTTACTTATCATCATCATACTCACTCTTAGACAATTTGGAATTAAAATTTAACTCATGCACAAAGCACAAACATGCATAGAACATAAAATTGACCAACAAAGCAACTCAACACATAAGAACACAAAAACCACTCCTATTACATTTGGTATTCATTCATGGTCTTCATGTCTTCTTTTGGTTCATATCCCTTGTTATCATCAAAACTCTCAGAACTTGATTCACCATCCATGAATCTCAACAATCCTAATTAGTATAATTATCATTATTAATATTATTACCATCTTTTGCAAAATCAACCACCTTCTACTGGTGATAATTATAAAAATCCCCAAAATTTTCAATATCCACCATCATTTCCAATGTATCCACCACCATGTCCTATCGGTGAAAATTTTTGTAACCCACAATTCCTTATGTTTCCACTACCCCCACCCATCCCAAACATTGGTCTTACGGCTCCTTCATCCAACTCAAACCCTCCTAATAGCGAACTTCAATCACCTCTTGAATAGGATAGTATTCAACTCAATGGGAGCAATGAAAATATGTCGCAGAAAAAATCTCATGTCCCATTCAATGTCCCAAAGGATATAATTTTATTTCGATAATGATTGAATGTTTCGAAGGATCCAATTATTGGAGTTGATCAGTCATTAAGTCAATACTGGGAGCGAATAAAAGAAGCATATAACAACGATATCGAGCACAACTGATTCACAACCAAAAGTATCACTCAATTAAAGTCATGATGGAGCAAAATTCACCTTGCAGTTCAAAAGTTCATTGGTTGCTATAAACAAGTAGTAACTCAAAGGAAAAACGGATGGTCAGAGAAGGATGTTATGGCTTTCGCACATAGAATTTTCATAGAAGATTCAAAAGGTAAAAAATTTGAATTTGAGCATGCTTGGATGTTGTTGATGAATGAACCAAAATGACATTAAGAATTTATGGAAAGCTCTTCAAAAAGGAGTAAGGTGCATACTCATTGTCGTAAAACTCGGAGACACCCGTTGAAGTTGAAGAATGTGAGGGAATTTCACCAGTGTGTCGACCGATAGGACAAAAAGCAGCAAAGAGGAAGCTAAAAGGAAAAGGATAGGCAACTGCTTCGACCAATGTTGATCTAACTAGAATATAAAGTCAATTGAAAGT